ACCAGACCTCCCCACCAGCTGAGCTGCGGGAAAGAAGCGGCCGGCAAAATGACTGTCAGAAGGGGGAGAGAGCACGGTAGAAGCTGCTGGAGACCCTCCTTCCGTCTCATGTCCTGGAAAACATAGAGCTCAGTTCAATGTTTACTGTGACAATGCTTGTGCTGACAATGTTGATGTGAATGTTCAAACAGTTTTTATTAAAACACGCTACATTCCACAAAGAGCAAACTCCTCCCTGCCAACCCAGCCCACCTTTTATCAAACTCCGTGTTGAACGCCAGCGCATTCTCCAGCGCCAGACTGACAACACACCCTGCGGCCCACCCTGTTCTCCCGGCTATGACCGAGCAAGACAGCGGAGGGGTCTGGGCGCTCACTTCGCTAGCCAGGATGTCCGATCGCCGCTTCGAATCGCTCTCACGACATGACAACCGAAGGAGCGGCTTCTGCCATGAAAGTGAGACAAAGCAGCAGTCTAACGGGACTTTGCTTTCCCAGCACGATCACGATGGCTTGCACGGGTGCGCCGTTACCTCACCGGCAGAGCAGGCATGTCACACAAACAGACATGCCACACAGGTGACAGCTGCTCCGCAGAAATTTCCGAGCACACGGGAGATTACCTGTGTCGGTAGCAACCAAGCTAATGCAAAGCAAACCCGCTATAGCCAGAGGGAGGCGGGGACCGTGCTCCCCTCGGCACAGCAAGTCGATAGAGATCGCTCGCCGGCTCCGGTGATCTTTCCCCCACGAGTGCCTCGCGGCTCTGATTAGCAGTAAGCGGTGACAACCACTCTCCACAACAACTAGTGGCTGTAGAAACGGGGGTGCCCCGCCTCACGGCTTATTAACAACGTTGCACGCTATGACTTCATCAGAGTGACCGGCCGTAGTGCATTCAAGGACACCACAGTTGGCTCGGCCCTTTCAATTGTGGCCCCCCTTAGGCCAAACTACTTTTATGGAAGGTTTGGCGGCGGAGAGGGCCGAAGAAGTGTTCCTCCAAGCAGACTGCAGCGTGGGAACGGCGGGGACAACACTGTCAGTGATGCAGCTGCTGGGTCTCACCCAGTGGTCTCGTTGGGACTGCTACACATATGACGGCTACAATGCTGGTTCTCCAGTCTGCGTCTGGACCTCAAAAGACACAAACGCTGCATGGTGACACCCCCCCCAGCAGTACAGGGTGATCTACAGTTCTGGGGATCCCCACATTGGCTGTCAGCAGGGGTGCCGCTGGGTTGAGTAGCATCATACGTGTCAGTGTTCACGGATGTGGTTCTCAATTCTGCCACAGGACAGCCCACCTTTGGGAGTGGATGTGTTTGCACACACTCCATGGCCAAGGGGGTTTCTGTACGCGTTTCCCCCAACCCATCTCATTCCCCCTCTGCTGGAGAGGGTGAGACAGGAGCAGTTGTCATTCAATTCAATTCATTGTGGTAGCCCCCAGCCGCCGATCGCCGGGGTGGTATGCAGAAGTGACGCAGCAGGCAGTGACAGAGCCTTGGCCTGTACCTCAGGTCTGGGGAGCTAGGAATCAGGCGCCATAGGCATGCTGCCGGTGCTCAGCAAACCTCTCCAGGTTTTGCTCCTGAAAGGGAGAGGTTGAGACAGGCTGTGCTGTCCGCAGAGGTAGTACAGACCATCAAGGCGGCAAGGACGGGCTCCATCACTTCCTGCTACAAAGCTAAGTGGGTGGGCTTTCAGCGCTGGTGCACCGAGAGGGAAATGGATCCTATAACCTGCTCAATGGGATCCATCCTTTCATTCCTTCAAGGCCTGATGGAGAAGGGACTGTCACATTCAACCATTAAGGTGTATGCAGCAGCTATCTCATCTTGTCATGAAGGGTTTGGCGGCAGACCTATCTTCACCCACCCCCTCCTGAAGCGTTTTCTTCAGGGTGTGAAAAGACAACGACCAGTGTCTCGTGTCTCCGCACCTAAGTGGGACCTGCCGCTAGTTTTGGAGGCTCTAAGGTTGAATCCTTATGAGCCCCAGGAGCAGTCCTCCTTGAAGATGTTATCTCTTAAGACAGCCTTGTTACTTGCTCTGACCTCTGCCAAGCTGCATGCTGCTTCGTGGTGACCACAGTGCGGCTGTGTTAAGACCGAACCCCTCCTTTGTTCCCAAGAACATAAGGAGCTCGTTCAGGTCAAGAACGATACATTTGAAGAGGTGGCTGGATGATAGGCAGTGTGGACACTGCTATATACGATTCGCACATATAGGTAGCGGCATCCCATTGGTTGGCTACTTTCACTAAGCAAATTTCAGTGGGCGAGTATGTGCGTTTGATAGGAGGAGAGGTAATACCCATAGAGTCCAGTAGAGGGTGCCGTCTGTGCTAATAGAACTAGGGCTACCATATCATAACCTTCGTTTCTACTTGCCCATTTGCCAATAGTCCAGCCTCTTTGACTGACATTACACAGTGGAGATAGCAGCTGATCTACTACAGAAATCAGGTTGAGAGTACATCTCACATCGTGTGCCAACATTGACTATCTTTATATTAGATATTCTTTTCCTGCCAAAGAATACAGCCATTTAGTTGTAAAGAGTTTATTTTTTCCAGAGTGAGAAGCCTCCCAAACAGCATTTACTTTATCAAAGGACAATAAAACTCTCCACTGAAACCCAAAGTAATGTTTGTGGGTAGAGTGGCAGGACTGTGACAGGGAGACCCACTTAGAGTAAATACTAAAACATATAAAGAATAGGCTAGGTCTTTCAATTTACAAAAACATATTGTTAAATTTAAAAGGAAATTCATTGCAGGTTTTAAAGTCTTGAAAAAAAAAAACCCCTCCATCACCTTTGCACTAGACAACCTGATTGGCTTATAAAAAGCAGATTGACATATTGGTCTAACAGTAATTAGGTCCTCATGTTATTGGCACTGAGGGACCTCAGAGAAGCAGTGCTTGATTTTTTTCCCCCTGTTGCATAATGTGTGTTATTCTCCATGGGATGCTGGTCTTTCTCAGGCAGAGGCATGCAGAGCCCACACTGCGTAACAGCGGTGTTTTCCGTTTCCACTCACGTACGCTGCTGGATGTGTGCACCGTCGAGCTCACTGGCACCGGATTGATTCACCTGTCGCTTGAGCAAGTTTGATCCCCAGGGGCGGTGTAGCGGCGTCTCACCCGCCGAGTTGCCTCTTTCCCTCCGCTCCCCTCTGTAACTCACAAGCCCCTATGCTATCCCTTCTCAGGGCCGCTCGCTCCTTTCTCTCCCCGTTCTCAGAGCGATAAACTAGATTTATAGTTACAGTGGCAAAGCAAACTCGCTGAGTGTGTTAACTTTATCTACAAGGACGTGGAGGCAGCAAGAGCTAAAGAGTAATGACTCGACTGTGAACGTGAATTTGACGGGGGGGGGGGAAAGGTCACATCTCTCAGTGATAAGAAAGACTGTAGCTTGGTGACAGTGACTGGCAGAGGGAGGAATGAATGTGAGGCATTAAACTTGACTGCTCCGAGTCACACACACAAACACACGAGTACAGAATATATAGGAAAATGCAACACATAGAGCACAGTGAGGCTGACGCTTCTGTGTTGTGTTTAGACTCAGCCTGCTTGTAAGTAGAGATACGTGTGGGTGTCTGTTGGGTGTGTCTTTGCACATGTGCATGCATGTATGGTTATACTGTATACACATTTTGTATGTATTTCCACATACCATTTACCCCTTAAAAATAATTTGTCACAGTAACTTAAAGCTGCAACTTTCTTTGATTGAAAATAAGGAAGCAACCCCTGTACTCTGTGTTGTGTTAGGCGCAGGAATAAGAAATAATGGACAGGAGGCTTGTGTCTATTTCAGTACTGCCATTTATTGTCCACATAGGAACAGACTATATGTGGTAGTGAGTCATTTGGCTCACCAAGCTCAGACCAATTGCAGTACAAATTATCAAGTTATTTTTAGTTAGTTATTTTAGCTGGCTAGTGGCTAGCTAGCTTGTTTACTGAATGTACTACTTCTACGTTATTTGATCAGTTTAGCACTTAAGGTCTTCTCAAAATCGTCACCTTATTACAGGTGGAAAAGGAAAGTACACCCTGTTACCCAATGATTAGAGCTGGACTGTTACATATATGAGGGGCATGCTGCCATGTTGCAAGAATGACCACCATACTGTAAGTTTTGATGGTTTGTCTACAACTTTTTTCTTGGAAATTGTCTTAATGCTGCATACACAAAACCATATCCATAACTTTGTATTAGAAAGCATTCTATCTCAGGAATTGCATTGCCCTTAATGTCGTCCCTGGAAAGGGCAGTCAACAAGGTGTTCTTAAAATCTTGTCTTTATTATATATCAAAAGGGAAAAAACACACGCCATGTTGGAAAAATGACCACCTTAGCACATGCTGTAATGGTCTCACATCTTTATCCCAAATATTTATCTTTGTATCACAGTGAACACCTTCTCACCACACAGAAGTGAGTTTTCTTGGCTTCAGAAGAGAGGAAGAAGCGAGGTGGAGGAGACATTCTGGGATTTCCTTTTGATTTTACTCCCCCGGTGGCATGACAGGCCTCTATATGCAGGCGTTTACAGTAGCCCTGACACCCTGCTTAGTCAGTTACTGTAGATGAGGGTAGGCTGACTAACAAAAAGTATAAGGGGTCTGTTATGTGACCTTTTCAGTTTGTAGGAGTGAATGGGATGTTTTCTATCCAAACTTCTGTCCATGTGTGTTCGCACACGTGCATTTCTTAGTTTTCAGCTGATCTGCAAACTGCTATAAGTCTTATTTTATAAGTCACTAGAATTAACAGGTTTTTTTCCCTTTCTATTCCGAAGTAGCAAAACAGATGAACTCAGGATATTGTTTTTTTTTCACAACTGACAGTTTAAAAAGAGCAAACAGCCAAAGGAGGAAGCAAATGCATTTAGATTTAAACATTTAAGCCAAGATTTCAGCTGTGCTCTTTAGAACATTTTCATTAGCTTTGTTTCTCTCTCTCTTTCTTCTGTCAGCTGCCAAGTACAACGGTGAAATCTACAAGCGTCGGCTGATGGTGGAGCTGCCAACGAAGGGTGGGCTTCCGCTCCAGCCCATGGGCAACTCCAGGCCCTCCATGGGCAACATGTCATCAATGACTTCTCAGATGACTACCAACCCCATGGCTTCAAACCCAATGACCTCCAATCACATGAACCCCACCATCACCCAGATGACCTCCATGACCCAAATGACGTCTATGATGCCCATGACCTCTATGACACCGATGACCTCCCTCACCCCGATGTCCTCCATGACCCCTATGACCTCCCTGGGTCCACTGACTCCAGAGCCAGTGGCCACCTATGTCACAGAGATGCCTAGCATCTCCTCTGTCTCAACCCTCCCGACAGAACGGCACATAGCTGGTGGTGGAGGAGGTGGGGGACTCAAGCCAAATGGCCAGAAACCGAAAGGCAGTCATGGTCACGTTGCCCACAGCTCTCACAGCTCTCACAGCTCTCACACTCATGCTCACAGCCACAGTAGCAAGCCGCCAGGACTCGGGGCTACCTCCCTGGCACACATGGCGGGGACCATGCCAGGTGGCATGTCCCTGGGCATCTCCAGGGCCGCAGAGACCGCCATTGGCTCCAGCTCTGCTACAATGGGCCGCCCATTGGCGTACAGTTCCAACACAATCGCAGCTGGGCATACAATGGGGCTGGGGCTGAAGGGCTGGGATGGGACTGAGACGGTGGGCCGGAGGAAGACCTACGGGCACAAGAGGCCTCAGTGTACCGTGCTGGAGCCCAACCAGCTACACAGCACCAGAAACCACAGCCACAGCCACCACTTCCTCCCCACACAGCCCTACTTTGTGACCAACAGCAAGACAGAGGTGACTGTGTGAGAGAGGAAGAAAGGGAGAAAAAGAGGGGGAAAGGATGCATGTGGAGTGGTGGCACAAGTAATCTCTGACCAACTCCTGACGTGGTCAAAGGTGCAGATTTATGTGTGTGTTTGTGTGGCTAATTGGTATACTGGTGAATGTGGTGGGACAGTAACACTGTGTCTGAGCAGCCCTCGTATCACATACAGAGTTCACCAATCAAATCACTGAACAGACCATTGTTGTCAAGAGGTTGGTGGCATCTGTAACCATAACTTCAAAAAGGCTGCAGAGCAGGGATGTCCGTATGATATTAGAGTGTTGTCAGACAGCTAATATCTACTCAGTAATGATAATGAGCACAGTGCAACAACACACAGAGGATAAATTGAGAAACTGATAATAATAAAATGGATTGGCATCATGGGAAAGAAGAAACACAGCAGGTTTACCCACAAACCTCACAACAAGAGATCTGCTCATCTGCCCAACAAAGCGTTGAATTGTTTGGAAGAAATAACATTCCCTCGTGACTCAACCCCATATCTCTTGAGGGCTTTGAAACCGACACACATGATGAAGGTGCTGGGCTTTGGACTGCAGACATGCAGGGCTTTGTACTGTGGTTATTCAGAAGCGCCTTCATAAGCTCTGCAGCTGAAGGTTGCCCTTTTCCACAAGCTCCAGCACAGAGAATGGAGGCTGTCACACTGGCATTGTTCTGGTCTGATCTTGTCTGTGTGGTGACAGCTGGCCCAGAGGAGGGATAAGGAGGCAGGGAGGCAGCATCTGGATGTTGCTGCAGCAAGCAGAGGCTCCTTGGAGCACAATTCTCATACACACACACACACACACACACACACACACACACACACAGAAACTTATACAGTAGAAATACCGCACACCAGGGTTTGACCAATATAATGTTTTAAAGAATGATACCAATAATTTTATATTCAAGGTATAGATGGCTGATCCTTTTTGTTTCATTTGTGCATTTGGGATTGGGATGACCCACCTTATCCAATCAATGAGAGTTTGGGACACATAAATACTTTAGAAAAAAATAAATTAGAAAATGATTTGCAAAAGGGTTGCACAATTAAAGGATTAGTTTGACATTTTGGGAACTACCTGTATTTGCTTTTTTGCCAAGAGTTAGATGTCAAGATTGATACCACTTTTGTGTCTGCATGTCAAAACATGAAGCTACATTCACAGTCTATTAGCTTAGCTTAGCACAGAGACTGGAAACAGGGGGGATCAGCTAGCCTGATTCTGCCCAATAGTACAATAACAAAATCTGCCTACAAGCTAACTAATTAATATGTTAAATCTACATTGTTTAATCTGAACAGAAGTGTAGAAAGGACATTTTATGGTTTTAAGGGAGTTGATGTGGCATTTTTTACAGGCAAAGTAACTTCCTGAAATCTTATTGTCAAGCAACAAAATGTCAAACTTTTAGAAAGTTTTAAAAATTGCAAAAAAGAAAGCTGTTTAGTGTAGTTTTGGTCAGGAATGGCCTTGATCATATTGGAAGTGTACAAAATGACTTGTTAAATGAAAAATGCATATGTATTAGTTTAAGGTGAATAAAGTCTGCAAAGTATGGGTCAACTGGAAAACTATATGTTAACATATTTAAACATATTTTATTAGATGGAACTAATGAAATATTTGACTTCTCAACATTTTATTTCTGCACAGATTTTGCATAGGATGTTATGCTTCTCTAGTTTTAGACAAAAGCAAGAAACTACTGTGAAAAGTGGGTGTAACAGAACTAAAAATACCACAATTTTTTTGCTGGTAATGGAAAGACACTGCCACGAGAAACTAGGCTTGATTAGATCACTCACTGTACTCAAGCTCTAGCTGAAAAAATAACATCAAAACCAGCAGGATAAAAACTATCTGGCTTACATGACTCAAACATAAAAATAAATCCTTAAGTCTGACAAATAGGCCAAATCTTCTAAGGGCTTATCTGAGCCTATTTGCTTGTTTTGTAATGACGTGAGACTTATTAGCAGCTGCAGCCAGAGTTATCATTTTGACCTTGTTGTCACCTTGTTGTAAGTGCTGCTTCCACCTCTAAGACCCTCTTTGCACTTGGGATAAACATGCATTTTAAATGAACAGATTGTGATCAGATAAATTAAAATAAAAATCAGAATGCACCCAAGACACAGTGTGGAAAGATTATAATTGGATTGCTGGAGGTGGTCAGTATTTTCCGTAAGTGTAAATACAGTTATGTCTTGGAAATGTGTGTGCAGCTCCAACTGAAGCACAAGTACAAAAGGCGATGGGCAATTTCACACCAACAAACACAGATTGTTAGGACATTTTTGGATAGAGAACAAGCAAGCATCAAGCATCAATTGTCCATTTTAAAGTATGTAAGTATGATAGGAAGAGGTGTACATGACAATCTGTGTTGAGAAAAAGACAGTGGATTTCAGTGTGACACATTTTATTGGAAGCTGCAGCAGAGCTACACTGTGTTTGGGTACACTGTGTATCCAGACTGCATGTAGATCTGAGGTGCAAAGAGGGGGGGGGGGGGGGGGGGGGGGGGGGCGTAATACTACAGCTTCTAAATCAACAGCCAGATGAAAACAACTAATTCAGCGTAAGATAAGGGGGTCTACAGGAGGGGATATTTTTGCCTCATGCTGTGGAACCCCTGCTGCCTTGATGGGGACGTGACTGGAAACGTGAGACCAAACTGAAGGCATGGAACAGGATTTAAGAAGTCATCAGAGCGTTAAAATGTGTCGCCTATACACCCACACCTAACACATGCACACACACAGGAATACATTACATGGTGGACTCTGCTTTCCTTCTGCTCCCACAGTGCCGAGCGGCAGGCGTCATCACAGCAGGGAGACAAAGAGCCAGTACTGTTATTGCGCCTGTTGTACATGAAAGACTGTGAAACTCCAGACCTTGGCCCTTTGTAGCGATAACTGATATTATGCTTTTTATATATACAAATATACATAGCCTTTCTCTTAATCTCTTTCTTTTCATCTTTTCTTCTTCTTCTTCACTTCTTTTCACACTTTTTTTCTTCTTCTTTGCGCCCTCCATGTCTGATTGGAAGACCTTCAGAGCAGAAATGTCTGCGAGGAACAAAAACCGGGCTGTGATGAATCTTTTCTGTGATAGTGGAGTGCAGTCATGATGAGACAGTGACTAATAATAATTCACCCCCACCTTGAAAGGCATGATTGGTTTCCCCCTGTCCATTCTCCTAGCAGGAAACATAAGTGATTGATTCTGTGTGACAAAACATGTAATTCAGTTTGTAATTTTGTACCATCATGTGTCCTCTTGAACACTGCACAAATTTCACTCTTTATAACTTTTTGTATATCTGTGGGAGTGTGCGTGTGTGATCCAACTTTGGCATATGATTATTGTCTCTGAAGAAGTGAGAACTCAAACAAACAAACCAAACAAAGTGAATCATATATAAATGGAGTTCATAATCCTACAAACCTGTTTGCGTCCCATGAGAATCCTTTGCAAATTTTGTTTTTTCCCCTCATCTTTGGATTTATTTCCTAATTTTCTTGACGGCTGGTGGTTTTATTTGTGACAGAGTTGAGAAGCAGGTTAATGTTTGCTCACAATGTGCATTATTGTACCAAATTGACTTAATCCAGCAAGGTGGAAATGTGGAAATATGAACCCTCCTTGCCACCCCTTACTGCTCGATCCTTAAAGCCCATTCAGCTCTGCAAAAGCAGCCACTGGAACAATTGGTTAGCAGGCAGGCAGTGGAAACAGTTGGTAAACAAACAAAAAAAAAACCTCCTCCCTTACCGTAACAGCCAAAATAACTGTGATAGAAAGCGGGGAATTGGTTGCGCTGGCTGGGTCACGGTTGATAGGGTCAGGGCCACAGATGCGTGGGTTCAGGAGGCAGTCATGTCTGACATTTTTCATCAGACAAGTCAGTCAGACAAAAAATGCCATGACAGAGACAAAAGGGCAAGGTGCAGGTAGTCTGCACGGTTCGAAACAGTCAGCTCAGTAACATAGCCAGTAGGAGATCTGGAATAGTAAGTATTCATCATTTATTGAAAACATCTGTTCAAGTCTTGATTTTCAAAATCTTGACAACACAGTTTGGTGATAAAATGTAGGCCTACTGTATGTGCTTATTGTCAGTACTGGCTTAACGCACTAATAATAAAGACATTCAGCACATTCAGAAACGACTTTAAAAACTTACCATTTCCAAAAAAAAGAAGCGGTAAAGGTGCATTTTTCCTCATTATTCCACCTCAGTATGGACTGCTTTTGTAATTTGAAAGACAATTTTAGAGATCACATATGGTTGCTTTTCCTTCCATAGCAATTCATCAGCTGGGTCATTTCTATGTCCCCAGTGTACTGTATTCCCCAGATTTATATGACACATAATGGAACATGACAAGGGGTCCTATGTTCTCAGGATCCTATGTTCCCTAGTTCTAGGGATAGGGGGGAGGGGGTTAAGGAACTTAGGAAACTGGGAACAAACATATGCTCCAAATCAAATTTACCACGCTTTAGTTTCAGCAGTTAGTCAGCTGTCCTTTTTATGGTCGTTACACCGACTAGACAATTTTTCACAATGAGACAATTATTTTCAGTAGGAGAACAGCATAAACTATGAACATATGGCATCATCTGTTTAATATATGTATTACACTGCAAAAGTCATTTTGCAACAGACCGGTCACAGCATTTAACCTGCAAAATTTGAGAATGAAATGGCACTGCCGTGATAGGTGGATTCGTTCATGGAGATGAAGTAAATCCACAAAAATAATTTGTACCAAGTAGGAAGCTTCCAGTCTGAGAAGCGAAGCGAATGCAGAAGTCCCTTAAACCTGCATTCTATCAAATGGGGCGACTCTTCTGGTTGCAAAAACAAGTGACCCTACTTCTCACCCAATTTATTACCTCAGTAAACACTTTCATAATGAATTTATGGTCTCAATCGCTAGTTTCAAATCTTTAACACAGCATGATGTTTATTTAGTAAATTATGGTCCTATTTAGAGGAAAATAGACAAAGTATGCTTCAAGGCGGGATTATCTGTGATTGACAAGTTGTTACCATAGCGACCTGTCAATCAGGCTAGAGTGACTTGTGACTCACAGCACTGTGTAAATTTAACCAGCGCCGTTGAAAAAGCGTGTTAGGAGTTGGCTGCTGTTGGCTGTTGGAGTAGTCAAGACTGTTGTTCGCTAGACAAAATTATCATCCCAGTTAAAATGACAGTTAACGAGAATTACAATTGCACTTTGCTAAACAAGCTAGCTAGCTCCTCACGGCGCCGTTGGCTCCACAGTCTCTTCCAAATATGGTTTGCAAAAAATCAACATGGTGGCACCCTAACGGCCAAACTTGAGGCTTCAAAACGGCAGTCCACAAATCAACAGGTGATGTCACCGATGACTACGTCTACTTCTTATATACAGTCTATGGGCCCCAGCTGACCACTCTGTGGTAACTGACATCTTGCAGTATAGTGTGATTGCCTTCACCTCTTAGTGTCTTACTACCTACCATGACGCTGCCAAATCAATTCCAAATTTAGGGATGACCACTCAGTGTGAACTCGCTGCTCCATACCATTCGGGTCCTGATTACCCTGTAGGTGCACTGCCTGCCACAGCTTCATGTTTGAATGGAAGCCAAATGAAGAGTGGAGGGGCAAGTGGCCTAATTATAGGTATCAGACCCCCAAGTTAGAGGCTGCAACGGTTCACCAGCACGCTGATCAGCAACTGAGGCAGGAGCAGGAATCAGGCCAGTCGAGTGTGCAGCCTGAAGTTGTTAGGGGAACCTAGTGTATCCAGAAGCAGGCACTGAGACTCTGGATTAGCTTGATAATAGAGGTTTTATTGAACAAAAGCTGAAGGGAGTGCAGTAGTGTTCCTGGAGGAAGAGGGGGTGAGCGGGCAGACACAAGGATCCAAGTTACCAAAGCACACAGTTTGGGTCAGGCAGCGCGGCTCCACAGCTTGAGTACTTCCTAGGGCGAACGCAGGAAAACACAAGTAGTTAGAAGAATCAGAAAACAGATAATCTCAACTTTTCTAGTTCAGGTACTAGTTGGCCGCAGCGCTTGTTACCACTGAGGTGAAAGAACGATCCTGCGAGGATTGGATGTCAAGCTGGGGTGTAAAAAAAAAGAGGAGTTGATTACTGGGATCTGCGTCAGGTGGGGAGCCGCTCCAGGGAGGGTGAGAGAGAGAGAGAGAGAGCCATGCTGCGCCCACACACACAACCAGACAAACTGACAGACGGGGATGGACAGGAGGGTAAACGGAGGGAAACACAAGGATTGGGGAAAAGAGGGCACAGCAGACCTAAGTTACGTGGTGTTAATACTTCTTGCTGAACATGCTTTGACCTTGTGACCTGGAGTTACCGTAATAGCCAATATTATATTGTGTTTTTACATTCTGATGCAATATTTTGACTGAATTTACACCTCTCTCTTCAATGAATGAGACACATCTCTAGTCCATCCATCCATCCATCGTCAACTGCTTATCCTGCGTACAGAGTCACAGGGGGCTGGAGCCAATCCCAGCTTGCATTGGTCGAAAGGCCACATCTCTAGTCATTTTATTTAATTAATTTAAGTAATAGCTGGTGTCTGGCAAGGATACTTTGCATTTCAAAGTAAGTGACAAATTGAAACAAGCTGCAGTGAGCACTACAGAGAAATCACCAGCCTTGGATCTTTTTCTTCTTTTGTCCACTTTAAGTTTTTAAAGTTTTTTGTTCGCAGACACAAACTTGCATCCCAAATTGGCATGTCCTCTGATACACAGCCACTTCTTTCCACCCAACAGTGAGGAACTTTAAAATCCTCTGCTTATTGAGCCCCCAGCTCCCACTTGTCTTTGCACTCGTGCTTCAACCAACCAGTAAGAGTCACTAGTGCAGCAACAATGATCCCTGACTGACTTCCCACCCTCAAAACTGGGATGTGAACCCAGGTCTCTGCGACAGAACCTTTTAGCCCTGCATCACCCTTGCTACCACGCTACATGACTCACCTCTCATGTAACCACCACTGTGTTGATTTTTGATGTGCGCTTACTGTGTTGCTCTTAAATGTGAAACTTCGGAATATGTGTTGAGCTAATGTTGAGTTGGTGAGTTAGCTGGTGGTCCTGCATTGTGGCAGAGTCTCGTAATGTGTCATAATAAAGGGCCCAAAGAAAAGCAAACGGTCAGAGTGGCAGATGAGCGAGAGAGATTTTGAAATGTCTCGAAACAAGACTGGAAGGCAAACACCTAACAAACCCACCTACCCACTCACAAAATACCCATTGACAAGTACTAGAAATGACACAACTGAGAATTACAAAAGCTTGTACTCCCACTAGCCCACACAAGCTTCACTGGGAGATAGGTGACAGAGAACGAGAAGCATTTATATGATGAGTAAATGGGACATGAAAATGGGGATTGTGGTCTAACTCCTCTCTTGATTTAGCTGAGAGAGAGAGGCCTATTAATACAAAA